GTAAGCTCCATGTTAAGCACAATCTCCAGATGAGAATAAAGCTACTGCTTTTAATAGTTGATACTTAACTTCCACAAGATATAATACTCGTATGTCTAATAAAACTATTTTAGCTGTTGAAACAAGTTGCGACGAAACAGCTGTAGCTATTGTAAATAGCAACAAGCAGATCCTTGCTCATGAGATTCTTTCTCAAAAAGAACATAAAACATGCGGTGGCGTGATACCTGAAGTAGCATCACGCGCACATATGAATCATTTACGCAACTTAATAGAAAGCGCCATAAAAAAATCCAACCTTGATTTTTATAGCTTGGATGCAATTGCGGCAACTTCAGGACCTGGACTGATGGGTGGGCTAATAGTTGGAACTATGATGACTAAAGCTATCGCTCATGTAACAAAAAAACCATTTATTGCCGTTAATCACTTAGAGGCGCATGCGTTGGTAGTGAGATTGCTATATGAAGTAAAATTTCCATTTTTAGTTCTATTAATATCAGGTGGTCATTGTCAATTCTTGATTGCACAGGATGTAAGCAAGTATATCAAATTAGGGGAAACTCTTGACGATTCACTAGGAGAAGCCTTTGACAAGGTTGCCAAGATGTTAGGCTTGGATTATCCAGGAGGACCGTTAGTCGAAAAACTTGCTAAAAATGGTGATGGCACAAGATTTAATTTTCCAAGAGCGATGATAAAACGTCCCGGATGTAATTTTTCATTTTCTGGTATTAAAACCTCAGTGAAAAATTTGTTACAAAAGCTTAAAATGAATGAGCAAGATATTTATGACGTATGTGCTTCATTTCAAGAATGTATAAGTGATATATTATTAGATAAAGTGAATCAAGCAATCGCTATGGCTGAATCTTTAAACATAAAAATCCATGATTTTGTTATTAGCGGAGGAGTTGCAGCAAATAAATTTTTGCGAGATAGGTTAGAAAAACAAATAAACTTAAACGTACTCCCCCCCCCTCCTCATCTATGTACGGATAATGCAGTCATGGTAGGTTGGGCGGGAATTGAAAGATTGCAAAAAAATTATATAAACTCGCTTAATTTCCCACCAAGATCAAGATGGGAGCTGGAGAAGATCTTGCCTAAACCATACAGCCCCACTATATAACTATATATTATCCTCGTTTAAAGTTATTATGTGACAAGTATTACATGGATGCGCCAAAACAATATAGGAGGTGTGTAGAGTAATACAAAACAGTAAAGAGAGTATAGCAAAGCTTGCAGAGCACTATAATCTTAATCCGAAGGCTATTGTAAAATGGAAAAAACGCTCATTTGTTATAGACGCTGCAATTGGCCCAAAACATGGAAAATCAAAGATGTCAACTCAAGGGGAAGAAGCAATAATTGTCACTTTTCGCAAGCATATACTTCTTCCTTTGGACAATTGCCTTTATTCTTTGCGGGCCATAATTCCTTGTTTAACTCGGTCTAGTTTGCATCATTGTTTGCAAAGACACGGCATTAGCATACTGTCAGATGTTGAAGGAGAGATAAAAGCCAAAAAGAAATTCAAGCTATGTCCAATCGGTTATTTCCATATTGATATCGCAGAAGTTATAACAGAAGAAGGGAAGTTACAGCTAAACTTGCTTATGTTAAACTGCATAATAACGCTATAAAACCAATAGCTACTGAGTTTTTGCGTAATTTAATCAAAATTACCCTATGAGAATTAAGAACGTCATAAACACGCTTTTTAGCGCATATTTGATAGAGTTTTCAAAAATGACATTGAACATCGTCTTACTAAAATCTGACATCCCTCGACAAGTGGCCAAGTTGAGCGTATGAATAGGATGCTAAAAGATGTTGTAGTTCAAGGGTATTACTCTACTAATCTCATTAGTAACTCAAAGAGCATCTTTATAGCTTCGTTATGGCCTACAATTAAGCTAAAAGAGTCAAAGCTCTTAAGGAACTCACACCTCTTGAATTCGTATGTGATTAGTGGACAATATTTCCTGATTTATTTATACCCAATACTCGCCTTCATACTTTGGGAGGATGTAATTATCAAGCAATATATCTAAAACCTTGGGTTCCAGTAGCCAATATGGTGTAATTAAAGTCATGAAATACTTTTTATCTCAGGATATGCATGATAGGACCTTTAATCTCTTCACTAACTAAAACATTAAAAAATAAAAACGTATTTGAGAATTTAAAGCGTATTGACAATGTTAATAACACTTTACTAGGTATACTGGAATTTGAAGATTCCAGTTCTTTCTTAAATTTAAGGAAGATTTTTTATGATCACAGAACTTATTTTTTATAGATGATTTATACTAACTACCATCGAACAACAAACTATTTGATGAGTTCGATAGTATTCCTACTAAAATTCTCAAAGATATTTGTAGCGCTGAACTATACATTTCTCATAGAAACGCTAATGAAGCTTTGATATTTTTTGATTATTTACGCGATAAAAAGAAAAATAAAAATATATAGATAATTTAAAAACAGCTTTTGAAACGGGCATTGAAGTAAATCATGCACTTTTAAACAAAAAATTATTTAATCTCAAGATGAAATATTAGAAGTGATGAGAAATAAAAATTTTGATGGTAGCAAAGTAAGAGAAATACTGAATAGAGCTAATTTAGTATAGAAGATAAGANAAGTATAA